TTTTTATGCTTTCTTGGTGCACCCCCTAGTGGTCTTTGTGCGCAGTCTTGTTCTAGTTGAGCCTTGATTGTTGTAGTTAATACTAGAGGGATTTGACCACCAGGCCGACTGGCTGTGTGAATCAGCTGTGTCTGCCGCGGAAAACTTCTGTCCTCTGGGGAGGTGCTAATCTAGCCTTTGCCTGCGGCGATCTGGCAAATGGCTCTGCGCAGGGCTTGGGCGGGGCGGGCTCAACAGGGCGGGCGGAGGGAGCCGTTATGGTGCCCTCAGTCCTGTTCCCAGAGGCTCTGCTTCTCAGAACCCCCGGAACCGCTGCAAACCTCGGAGGGAAAGCTGCCTTCCAACTGATGCCAGACACTCCCGCTTCTCCCGTTTGGGTCCGAGTCCCCAGCGATTCGCCCGTATCTGGAGCTCAGAGTCTGAGACTCCCCCCTGACCGAAAACGACAACCGCGCTCTCAGCCACCAGCCCGCTTTGCGCGCGCACCTCCGCACCTGAGTTTTTTCCACACTGCGCCTCCTCTGAGCCTCGGTGTGCTGTTATTTTTCCTTCTAGTTGAAGAGTCTCTCCTCAGCCAGCCTTCCTGTGGTTCTGGGTGATGTCCGTTCCGTCTTTTAGTTGTATTTTTGAAGTGGTTGTTTGCGGCAGCAATCTCCGGTGTTTACCTATGCCGCCATCTTGGTTTCTTTTTTTCATAAAGTTCCACTTTTAAAAAATAATTTCTATCTATCTTTTGAATTTCCCATGTCTTCACTCATTATACTCATTGTTAACATATTTGTTATTGTTATTTTAAAATCCTTGACTACTAATTCTAAAATCTAGGTCATCTGGGTCAATTTATTTTTTTTTAAATTAAATTTGTTGGGGTGACATTGGTCAACATGAACATATAGGTTTCAGGTGTGGGTTTCTATGTTATAAGATCTGTACATTGTACCTTGTGTCCACCACCCAAAGTCAAATCTCCTGTAGGTCAATTTCCATTGATAGGTTTTTTTTTCCCCCCTCTTGACTCTGGATCACATCTTCCTGTTTAGTTGCAAATCTTATAATTGTTCATATTGCAACTCAAGCATTGTGGATGATACATTTTAGAGACTACGGATTTGTTATCTTCCTTTGAATGATGTTGAGTTTTATCCTAGCATGTAATTAAATTATTTGCAGATAACCTTGATGTTGTCACAGCCTGGTTTTAGGCTTTGTTAAACTGAGTCTATTTTAGTTTTGTTCTTAATCCTAGACTTGTTTTCTTTTTTCTTTCAAAGCTTTTATTTATTTTACCCTTATTTTAAAAATTTATCTTTATTGTTGAAAGTATTACATATATCCCCCTTATTTTCCCCATTGGCCCCCTCTACCATCTCCCCCCCCGACTCCCCACAACCCATCCCCTAGGCCTTCACCACATTATTGTCTGTGTCCATGGGTATTTATTTATTTATTCCTAAGATATATGTATAGGCCTTTCTGGGGTTTCCATGGAAAGTCTCAAACTTTAAACTTTGTCTCTCCTACGGTGAGCATTTACCAAAACTCTGTCAGCATTTTTGCTGTTGTTTTCCTCACTCTACTCTAGAGAACCCTGTAGCCATTTTCCATTATTTTATCTTCACCTCTGAAATTCTGATCTGTATGTATAAAAGCCTAAGTGACTATTCGGTCAACCAGTCGCTATGATACTCACTGACCACCAGGGGGCAGACACTCAATGCAGGAGGTGCCCCCTTGTGGTCAGTGGGCTCCCACAGCCAACCTCCCGCAGTCCCTCCCCTCGGCCGGCCAGCCCCAGTCGGCCTGATCGGGAATGGGCGAGACAGGAGCCCCATCCATGCATGAATTTGTGCACCAGACCTCTAGTTAAATGTATAATAGACCTTTTTACATTATCTACCCTGTTTCTTAATCTTCTGTGTTTTTCATCATTATATCTTTTTAGGCACATTCTGGATAACTTTTTTCTCCTCAGGCTTTTAATTCACCAATTTCTTTTTTTATATCCTGTCAACTACCAAGCACATACATTGAGGTTTTAAATTTGGTTATCTGCTTTTTTATTTCTAGAAGTTCTATTTTTTAACTTCTATTTTTTAAGAATCTGTAATTTAATTTACTTTATATTATGAAATATAGATGTATTCATGTATTTTGTTTACTCTTTGATCATTATAAGGACACTTGTTTTATATTGTGCCTGATAATTCCATTATATGTGGTACACATTGGCATTTTTTCTTCTTATTATTCATGGTGCCTCATTTCCATGGCTGCTGATTATCTTTGACTATATGGTTATTATTGCCCTTAAATAATTATTTGTGTAGACTCACCCATGGCCTAGGACGGTGATGGCGAACCTATGACATGCGAACTCATTTTTTTGGTTGATTTTTCTTTGTTAAATGGCTATATATAAAATAAATATCAAAAATATAAGTCTTTGTTTTACTATGGTTGCAAATATCAAAAAATTTCTATATGTGACACGGGACCAGAGTTAAGTTAGAGTTTTTCAAAATGCTGACACGCCGAGCTCAAAAGGTTCGCCATCACTGGCCTAGGATGAAGGTGTCTTTTTTCTAGATGTTATTTTTTGCTTTTACTTTTGCCAAGTGTGTGTGCACTGTGAATGGAAAAAACACTATTTTTTCCTCTTTTACTTGCTACTGTCACACTCACAACTCCCTATATCACTTCTGACATAACATGTGGGGGTTTTCTACACCAACCAATTCTCTGTACCATCCGGGTTTCCTGCAATTCAATTTAATTCTGACATTAACTGGAGTTAGTACAAACCCCACAGGTTAAGGGCTCAGTCCCATAAGATTGCACTTCCCCTTTAGATGCCAATCGCAAGCCCGGGTTGTCACCTGTGCTTCCAACTGACTGGCTATATGTTAGAAGTTCCCATGGCCCCCTTTTTGGGGTTTGATTAATTTGCTAGAGTGGCTCAGAAAACTCTGGAAAATAGTTTACTTACTAGATTACCAGTTTATTACAAAGCATATTGGAGGATATGAATGAACTGCCAGAATTAGAGATAGATACATACGACAAGGTCTGGAAGGGTCCTGAGTGCAGGACCTTCTGTCCTTGTGGAGTTGGCGTGTACACCTTCCCAACACATAGATGTATTCAGTCACCTAGAAGCTCTCCAGGCTTTGTCCTTGAGGGATTTTTATGGAGGTTTCATCGTGTAGGCATGATTGTTCATTAACTCAATAGCCAGTCCCTATCTCCTTCCCCGAGGATGGGATAAGGCTGGATGAAAGTTCCAAGCTTTTAATCATGGCTTTGTCTTTCTGGTGACCCATCCCCATCCTGAAGCTATTCAGAAGCCCACCAAGAGTTGCCTCATCAGACCAAAAGACATATCCTCCTGGAAATTCCAAGAGAGTTAGGAACTTTCAGGAACTGGGGTCAAAGACCCAATGTTAGGATAAAAGGTGATCATAGTGCTCTTATCACCTAGGAAATTATGAAGGTTTTAAGAGCTCTGTGCCAGGAATCAGGACAAAGACCATATATTTTCTATTTCACACACTATTAATCAGAATCTACTTAAACTTAGTTAAAAGTTTATTATTCCCTGACCTACCCAAGTCACATGTTTCCAAATCTATACAAAGGACCCAGTCAACCCAAAATTTCTTTCCAATATTCTCCATCCCCCTTTTCTCTCTCCTCTTTCTACTCCCCCCCCCCCCCCCCATGCCATAATTTAAGACAGTCTTGCTTGAATGTACTTGGTATTGGGATAGAGAGTAAGTGCAGAGTTGCATAGTTCTGGACAACCCTAGCAGTGTGTTAGCCCTTCCAATCCCCAGTTTCCCACACTTGGAAGTTCCTCCACTTTTAGTAGTGAGAGAACTCCCACTTTTAATGGGCTCTGGGCTTGATTTACATCTCTCCTTGATGCCATTATCAGAAAATGTTGGTAATATCTTCATTGTTATAGTCTACTTTGTAATTTCCCATTTATCAGTTGAATCTAATTGGCTGTTTATATCTATTTTACATTTTTAATTATCATTATTTTTTTTTTGCTTTTGGAAGCTCTATTTGGTTCTTCTTAAGTCTTCCTGATCACTTTATCATCTTTTGTTCCTTAGTTATATTCTCAGTATCATCCCTTTCTTTCCATGAGCATAAACATGTTTTATAGTCTGTATTTGATTATTTCAGTATCTGAGGTCTTTGTAGGTTTAAATTGAATTATGCTTGCTGATATTTGGCAAAGTTTTATTCTTGATGGTTTATTTCTCATGTGTTTTGTGAATTATTTTAAATTATGGGCTCATGTTAATTGAAACGTAGGAATTCTCTGAAGTGTGGTAAGTTAAGGTTTTTTTTTCCAGGGAGTATTTGCATTTGAATTTTAGGGGTTGTTGAGGCACTAGCACATTGAGATAATTTTTGAGGTGTTTTTTTTTTTAAATTTTAGGTCACTAAAATGAATTCTTCTCTAAACCTATCTGAAAGCCCTTGGTCATGAATTATCTAGAGAGACTTTTCCTCCCTTACATATACATCTAAGGCTGAGACTTGCAAGTTTCCTGTTTCTTTGCATATGGTGGCCTTTTCTGATTTTACCTTTTACTGGGCATAGCACCTTTTGGGATTTGTTTCTTTTTTGTGTGGATAATCTCCAATATGTTTCCTTGAGCTGCATTGTCCCCAGGTTTCATCTCTTGTCCTTTATGCACAGAGACCTTCAAAACCAAAGTGGGTGGTGGTATGCATTGGCAGATACCTCTGGGTAGCATATACTACTATATACCCTCAGGACTTGTGTCTCTGGATTTGACTTTTTTCTTCTTTAACCTAAGGGTATTTGTCTTATTTTCCTACCACTTTAGCATGCATTGAAAAGACTCTTTTAACCTTTTATCCAACATCCTTAAGGATTTGTCCTGAGAAGGCTCTACAGGATATGGCATCTGCCTCATTGCCCTAATATTTATCAAATGTCATTTTTAATGTTTCTTTTATAGGATTCAGTTTAGCTGCATTTAAAAGAAACAAGAGGAAACTAGAGCTGGCAGAAAGGGTGGAAACAGATTTCATTCAACTAAAGAAAAGAAGACAATCAAATGAAAAGGTCAGGAGATATTTGAAATATTAATTATTAATGTATCATAATGATATATTTAATTTGCATTTAGATATATAAGCTTTAAAGTAGTATGATCCAGTAAAAATATTATGCATGCCACATACATCCTTTTAAATTTTCCAATAGTTACATTAAAAAAGTAAAAATAGGCAGGTGGAATGAATTTTAATAATTTATTTAAACCAGTGAATCCAAAATATCACTTAAAAATGTAACCAATGAAAAAATTATTAGTGAGCTATTAACCTTTTTTTTTTAAGTCTTCCAAGCTGGTGTGTATTTTACTCTTCTAGCACATCTTAATTATGACACTGAATTTTCATTGTAAATATTTGGTCTGTATTTGTATTTCATAATTGAAATACACTGTTGAAAAAGTAGTTTACATAACAAGTTATTCCAAACACACTTAAAACTTTCCCATAATATAACTGAGTATATTTTAAAATTAAAATTAATTAAAATTTAATAAAATTAAAAATTCAGTATCTTATTTGCCCTTACTGCATTTTAAGTGTTCAATAGCTATATGTGGCTGATGGCTACTGATTTGGGCCTTGCAGCTTTAGATAGTGACTCTTAACATGGCTGTTCGGGGGGTAGAGTATGTTACAAAGAAATGTATATATTGGGTTCATGTAGGGTTTTGTATACATTCTAATTGCAGGTTTCTGTTTCTCATTGTTACACATTCTTTGTTTGCATTTCATGCATTTGTGTACCATCATGAGTCCATGTGTGGCATTTCTTAGGTGTTTGGAAGTTGAAAACCACAACATTCTTGGTCAGTCTATGGCTGGGGGGTTCATTAGCACATAGTTCGTGATGGGTGTCATTTGATGTGCTTTGGCATCTTATTAATACTGGTTCATGCTTTCTGTCATAGTTTTATGTGATTTACACACACACACACACACACACACACACACACACACACATATGCATAATAAATTCTCTTTCATAGTGACAGATGTTTTCCCAGTGTATTTCCACATTGGACAATTAATACAAAATTTGGTTCAAATCTTTTTATTTTTTTTGCTAGAGAAAAGTAGGAATTTAGGAGGAAAATGAACGTTTTAATAAGTAGATCTTGGTGAAAGTGGATAACAGTGTGGTTCTATTTCTTGTTTTTGTTGCATCCCCTGTGCTGTCCGAGTGAGAAAATTTAGGACTTTTGTTCTTTTAAAAACGTGTGATAAAATTTGCATACAATGAGCAATTTAATCATTTCTAGAAATGTATACACCCATATAACCCATGCACCTATCAAGCTAGTAGAAAATTCTGGTTCCTCTATACTTCTTCTCAGCCAATCATAACTTGCCTACTTCTATTCTTGTCTCCCCTTTCAAAGCATTCTCCACACGTGGATGAGATAACATTGCATCTCTTCTTTTAACTCCTCGATGGCTACTCATTATAGTGTGATACGGAGTAGCTTAGATGTCAGAGATGGAAGTAAGTCTCAAAGAACAAGTTCTTCAGCTAGAATGATTGATAGAGATCTCTCTGAGGGTGTGTAACATTTGAGGTGACATCTGAAAAATATGAAGTGAGCTTATGCAGAGTCAGTGGAATAGTGTTCCAAGCAGAATGAACTGCATGTGCAGTGGCCCTGGTGGGGATTTGGCATGTTAGAGGAATGGGGAAGAGGGTCAGTGTGCCTAAAGCAGGGTAGGCAGGGGCGAGTGGTGAGATGAAGCTGGAGAGGAAGATATGTGCTAGCTCCTTTAAAATCCAGTAGATCATGGCAAGGTAGATATCAGCTGGGAGATGATGACAACTTGTACTCTGGGCAAAGGGGATGGAGATGGAAAGAGGTGAATATATCTAAGGTATATTTTGAGAGTTCCTGGAAAGACAGGAATTATTGATGCCTTAGATATTGGTAAGGAAGAGAGAGAAATTAAAACTTTTAGCTTTAGCAGTTGAGTGTTGTCATTTACTAGCGTGAGGAGGGCTGGGGAAGGTATGGCTTCATAATGATAGAGTGGGAAGTGGAAATCAAGAACTTTCTTAGCCCATATCCTCTTAATGGACTTGGAATACCAGTGCTTTCCATTTTCACCATAAAATATGTTACCTGATGTCAGCAGTACCCTAAATACCCAAGCTAATAGACCATCTTTTAGTGTGCCATGTTTCTTTACTCCTTCCAATTGAATTATATGTCATCTAGGGCCTGATTATGCTCATTATTTTTATCATTGTAATTGCATAACTCATTGTCTCATATACACCAATGAATATTGAGTTTAAAATAGTTATTTTTTTTAAAACTAAGAGAGTTGTTTGTTTGAAAACTAACTTGAAAAAATAGAGTTGGTTTATAAAGAAAATGCTATAGAATTAAATATGAGCAAGCCAGCTGTAAAAGGTTGAAAAAAGTCATAAAAATCTAGAGGCATTCTGCATTCAGAATGCATGTTAGTGTCCTTATATGCTTGTTCTATGTTAGATAAAATGAAACTTGAAATCATAGGACAATTCAGTGTGTTGTAGATTATACAAGAAAGATGACATGGAACATTTATTTGTGGGCCCGCATTCAAAGAAAAGACTTTAGTCTCATATGAAAAGATTAACTAATGAATGAACCTTTGTGTTTTAAATAAAATAAAATATTTAAGGAATGTGGGTGTTTTTTTTTTTATTCCCTGCTTCACCCAGAGAATTTTCAACTTTTAAAAATTTCAACCAGTCACTCATCATACTGTTTAAGAGGATTTTCCATAAAACACTTGAAGTGGCATGAGGAAAGATTAATTATTGAGTTTGGTATATGGGTCTGAAGCTTATGCAAAGGTCAGGAGAGAGATTCCCATTTGGAAATTATTGGCATCGAAAGGAATATAAATATATGTGGCTGGATGAACTCACTTTTGAGTGAGAGTAGATAGAGTTCTGAAAACTGAACCTTAGGCCAGTTCAACATGTACTAGTGGGAGAAACTAGCAAAGGAGAAAGAAGAGATAGCCAGTGAGGAAGAGATACAAACAGGAGAGTGTCTACTAGGAAGCCAAGAGAGGAGTGTTTCAGTCAGTCAACACCTGGTTCAAATGCTGCTGAGAAAACAGCGAAGAGGACAGAGAACTGGCCATTGACTTTAGCACCTCAGACTGTGGGCCTGGATAAGGAGTTTCTATGACAGAGTGGATTGTAGAACAGTGTGGGCTGGGTTGGTCAGGGAGAAGAAGGATAGCGATAGCTCTTTTGAGAATTTTTGACGTGGAGAGGAGAGAGAGAGAGAGAGAGAGAGAGAGAGAGAGAGAGGGAGAGAGAGAGAGAGAGAGAGAAAGGAGAGAGAGAGAGAGAGAGAGAAAGAAGAGAGAGAAAGGAGTCAAGAGTTCAGACCATTGCCAATTACTTCTGTGAATTCAGTGAATAATTATACATGTAGAGTTTCACTTTTCTTACTTTGGAATGGATTTAGTGATATTCTGCTCTCTAGCAGGGCTGTTATAAGGAGCAACAATGATAAGGATGTTCAAAGGCTTGGTGGCTGTCATTGCCTTAGCCAGACACAATAGTCTTTGCTATTGTAGCCTTCATTTTTAATGTCACTCAGCCTAAAAGAAAGAAAATTTCTGCCTAGTTATTTACACTGGGTGGAATCTTGTAATGGAGAAAGAGAGTGGTAAGGGAGGTAGGTAGAGGTGGGTTGAAAGGTTAAATTCAGGCATGATTCAAATGGAATTGTTGGTGGCTAAACAGTACCAGGTGTTAGACCGGTGGAGTCAGACTGGATCTTGGTTCAGCAACCTCGGTACTTGAGTTCTGGCTAAGAAAGAATTCAGATCCCAAACTCAAACTATAAGAGAAAATTTATTTAGAAAGTCACAGAGTTAGAAGAAGTGAGTGGGAGAAGAAATGGCCGCAGGAAACAAGTTACAGAAGCAAAAGAAGGGCCCTTGGAGCTTAGGAGAGAGGAAGGTAAAGGTAACACACCTGGGGGTGGGAAGAAGAGGAAAAGGAGAAAGGCAAGCTCATGCTCTCAAGAGTGATTGTCCCACTGGGTCCTCCAGTCTTGAGGGTTTGTATCTGGAAGTCTCAGGGGAGAATCCCAACAGAATATTCATCAGCTTTCTAGGTGTTTCCTTTCAGAGTTGTGGTCTCCACTGCTTGGTCAGCACAAGGTAACTGGGTCATTAGTCAATGCACCTGGGCCTGAGGTCAGCCATGGCATCGCTTGTCTGGTTTTGCTACTTTTCTGGGCCTGGAGCTGAAACACAGCTGAGGCCTAGATGTTATCCCTCAGGGTTAATGCTTAAGGGAGTGGTTTGTGCAAGGGACCAAATGGGAGTCCCATGAGGACACTCTTTGAACTCTTGTTCCTCCTCTCAGGGATGAAAAGGTCATGGGATGGTCCAGACCAGCGGTCGCCAACCTTTCGCACCTCATGGACCCCCAGTGGCCCGTGGACTACTGATTGGCGACTGCTAGTCCAAACTGTATGACCAGCGATATGCTAGGGGAGGAAAGGTCACCCTGGGGGTGAGGTCTTCGTTTTCCCAGTTTTGCCCCTTGCTGGGTACCTGCGGCTTTTCATCCTGGTGGCCTCCTCTACCTGGCCCATCATCCTTGTTCTGCTCATGTCTGTCTAACTGCCTACCACAGAGTATTTCAGATATCTGAAGTGAAAGAAAAACATTTTTTATATTCAGAATAAGTGAACTGTAATGCATATAAAACTATGTGTGTGACATTGGCCTACAAAAATAACTGGGGCCTAGCCTCTGCCTTTAGGGAAGGGTGCTGGCCAGAGGCGCTGCTTTATAGTGTGTATGTTACCTTGGCAGGTCTTGTCTCATAGTGAAGATAATAAAACAGGCTCCCAGAAAGAAACTCTGCCTGATATGAACCACTTGGGCAAAAATAGAGACATGGCAGGAAAGGACAAATAGCTGTTTTCTACATCAACCTGTATTTAGTTTATTTCTCCCTGGCCTGTCTGTGTAGTTCCAGTATAGTTTTGGTTAGCC